CTTCAGAGACCCACGAGGCCGAAAACATAGATTTCCGATGGGTGTTTCTCCAACTAGGCTTCCCGGTATGGGGTCCTAGCTCAATGGTACAGAGAACTGATCCACTGATCCCCTGCTATTTTGCCCCTACGCGCATCGTCTCTGGCGCATGTCTTCCTCTGTTGCGCATGGTTTCCTCTGCTATCCGCATGGCTGTCTGTGTTTCCCCTGCACGCGTCCTCTGTTGCGCTTGGCTTCTTCTACCAGCGTTCTCTGTTGCGCATGGTTCCCTCTGCTATCCGCATGGCGTTCTCTGTATCCGCATGGCTGCCTCTGCTATCCGCATGGGTTCCTCTGTATAGGCATGGCTCCCTATTCTAAAGGCTTCATGCGGCTATTCGAAAGGCGTCTCAACAATCGTTCACCAATCGTCAAGCTCAGAAGTAGAGTAGAGTAGAGCAGAGTAGAGTAGAGTAGAGTAGAGCAGAGTAGAGTAGAGTAGAGCAAAGCAGGGTCGAGCTGAGTTTGAGCAAAGAAGCTTAGAGTAGAGTAGAGTAGAGCAGCGTAAAGTTGTTTAGGCGTAGAAGGGGGTGGAGTGAAGTAGAGTAGGAGTTGAGCAGAGTAGGAGTAGAGTATAGTAGGGTAGAGTAGAGTATAATAGAGTACAGTAAGGTCGGGTGGGGTAGAGTAGCGTAGAGTACAGTAGGGCAGAGTAGGGTAGAGTAGAGCATACTAGAGTAGAGTAGGAGGATGATACAGTAGAGTCGGCTATAGCAAAAGAGCGTAGAGCATTACATAGTAGGGTCGAGTAGGGCAGCGTAGAGTAGAGTAGATGCGAGTAGATTCGAGGAAAGTGGAGTAGGAGTCGAGTAGCGTAGAAAAAGAAATTGAGCAGAGTAGGAGTAGAGTAAAGCAAGGTCGGGTCGGGTCGGTAGGGCAAGGTGGAGTGGTGGAGTGGAGTAGGGTAGAGCATAGCAGCGTCGAGTAGAGCAGGTCGATTGTAGAGTAGGGTCGGGTGTAATAGCTCAGAGTAGAGCAGAGCAGAGTAGAATAGCTTAGAGTAGGAGTAGAGTATCGTAGAGTAGAGTAGAGTTGGAGTAGGGTCGAGTAGAGCAGTGCTGAGCAGGGGTAGAGTAAAGTAGAGTAGAGTGAACCAGGCTAGGGTAGGGTAGAGTAGGACAGGGTTGCGTAGAGTAGGGCAGAGTAGAGCAACGTAGAAGAGAGTGTGGTAGCTGATAGAGTACGGTCAGGTAGACTGGACTAGAGCAGAGCAGAGCGGAGTATAGTAGAGTAGGGTAAAGGAGAGGAGAGCATGATAGAGCAGGGTAGAGTAAGAGTAGAGTAGAGCAGAGCAGGGTAGGGTAGAGGTAGAGCAGAGTACAGCAGAGCAGAGTATAGTTAGAGTTAGAGTAGGGCAGGTAGAAAGTAGAGTAGAGTCGGGTAGAGAAAAAAATAGGAGTGGAGTAGAGCGGAGTAGAGTCCACCACAGTCCAGTCCAGTCTATTTCTGTTCACTCCAGTCAATTCATTTCAGTCTTCTGATCTTTTTGGGGTCTGCGCTGGCTGATATTGTTTGTGTAAGTGCTGCCCCCCCATCTGGTGGGCCGTCCTGGTCGACGGATGTGATGTGACGCCTGGGGGGGGCTGACTAACAGTGGAAAGTAGCACCACGTGATGTTGTACGGATTTGTACTACTATGATTGGACACACGGTACGTTGGATACGTTGCGCTACATGTTTTGCGGGAGACGCTGCGGCTGAACACATCACCTTCGGACGTGGATTGAATAGGCTTCTGCTACACTCGCCGACCGCCCAGTGATGCCGATCGTCCTCTGCGTGCGTTTTGGAAAGCTGCGTCACCTTCCTCCTCGCCCTGCTCACTCCCCGCCGTTCCCCTCCCGTCCCAATTTCTTACTCCACTCTCCTCGTCCTCCCCGATTCCCAGTCTTCGTTCCCCGCTTCCCCCCAGTGCTCCGCTCCTCCGTCCGTTCGTCCTCCCTGGTGCTTGCTTCGGGCTGTTGCTGCTCTTTGCTCGCTTCTGTTTGTTAGCTAGGGCTTGATGCTTATTGGTGCGCATCGTTGCTGCTAATTGCTGTGTCGATTGCCGATGCTGCTACCTGTTGTTGCTTGCTTGCTGCGAGCTACTAGCTGCATCTGGCCGACTGTTGCTCGCTGGTTGGTGTTTACTACTGGCCCCTGTTGTTGGCTCTGCTGTTGGTGATCCTGCTGCGGCTGCTGCTGCTGCTGATTTAGCGCTGCTTCTTGAGGGTCTCGGTGAAATTCTAGGATCTCTTGGGACCACCCGAGGCATCTTGGCGTGTATCGGGGTCCCTCCTAGGCCGTCTTGGGTCTCTCTTGGCGCTTTCTTGGAGGTTTCAAGAGCCTCAAGCACTCGAAATACTTTCCTTCGCCGCTAACATTCATGGCCGATTGCGTCCCCGACTGTCCCTAGCCCTGGTGCATCCTTGCTGCTGCGTCGCCGCTCATTTCATTGCCTGGCTCTTCCCGACTGTCCCTGTGCTCCCCTGCGTCGCCGCCTATTTCTTCGTCCAGCCTTGTACCCGGTTGTCCGCAGACATGATGTTCCTTCCGTCGTGATTTGTTTTTCGTCGTGGCCGAGTTGGGCGAAGGGTCGAGAAGAGACTACTCAGCGCACGTTAGGCGGGAGCGGTGCGCAGGCAGAGCCGAGCAGCGCCAAAGGAGGAGGAGGGCGGGCGGGGCTCGTCGTCGGCAGGGCACCTGGACGCCTAGGTGGCGTCCGGCTCGCGGTTCATCCAACGCCCCATCGGAACAGCCACGCTTCCGCGATTGCTTCATCACGAAGGTGCAGAGGATGGCTGTCGTCCCGGGATGGCGCCGGCCGTAGCACCAATTGCCGTCCATGGCTTCAGTTGTTCCTTCCGTCCCCGATCGTCTCTGGTCCTCGCTTGTCGGCAGAGTTGCTGTGTGCTTCCACACGCATGCCTCCACTTGCTTCCAACTGCTCCTCTAAGCTTCGGCCGATTGAGGTCCGCGCGCGGGTTTCATGTCATGTGTGGCAGGCCTGGGGCATCGTTCTCTCGGGGACCGCCTGGACCAGACTTTGGGCCACTGGGGCTGCTGGGACCGCTTGCTGGGGCCATCTTTGGCGGGCCCGTGTTGAGGCATTCGTGGAACGTTCTCAGATTGTCTGGGTTGTCGGGAACCTTGCGAGTGATGTCTTAGGCCCTCCGTCTTGGGCTTCTCGGAGTCCTTCTGGGCTGTCTTGGGGCTTTCTCAAGGTGGTCTGAAGCAAGTTTGGGCCGAAGCGCTTGCACAGCGGACGTCGCATAAATACATGTGGCTTTGGGTTGTTTGCGGTATCTCTTGGGCTCTTTTGTGGCTTCTTCTTTGGGCCTCTTGTGCTCATCCTGGGGCTTCCTGGGTCCTCGCGGGCAAGAATTCGGGCATCCTGAGTCGCCTGGCCTGCTTGCTCTCGTGTGTTGTCTGTAGGCTGTCATAGTGCTGTATTGGGCCATGCCGAGGCTCTTTTGCTGTTATGGGCTCGTCTAGGGCCCAGCTTGTTTTTTGGGCCGTCTTGTGGCCGCGTTGGGTCGTCATTTTTTGTTTGGGGTCCGTCGGGCCGTTTTCGGGCTCTCCGAAGCTTTCTCTGACTTTCTCGAAGTCATCTTGGGGAGCGAAACTTTGAGAGCCAAACGACAGTATCCAAGCAGTGCTTGCACTCAGGATTTAGGGGTTCCTACTTGTCGCGCTAAGGAACTGGATAGGCGCATCGAGGATTCGCCACGTTCTGACCTGTTGCCGCCCGTTGCCGCTTGCGTGGGTGCGCCGACGAGGTGCCACGTTGCCGCCCGTTGCCGCTCGGGTGGGTGCGTCGAGGAGTCGCCACGCCCTGCCGTGCTGCCGCCCGCTGCCACCGGCTCCGCGCGATGCCACCCGTTGCCGCTCGGATGGGTCGAGGACTTGCCACCTCGCCGCCCGTCTCCACCCGCCGCCGCCTGCGTCGGTGTGCCAAGGATTCGCCTGGCCTTGACGTGAGGCCTCTCCTTCTGTCCCCCCCTCTTTGATTCAAGCTTGGAGCGGCCCGCTTAGCCTCGACCGGAAGAGGTGCGCTCGCGACCCGCGAATCAAAACAAAACAAAAAGTGTGTCAAGGATTCGCCACGTTCCCGCCCGTTGCTGCTTGCACGGGAGCGTCGAGGATTCGCCACGCTCCCGCCCGTGGCCGCCAGTGCCCGCCCGTTGCCGCTGGCGTGGGTGCGTCCATGACCCGCCCCGTTGCCGCCGCTCGTGTGGGTCCGGCGAGGCTTCGCCACGCTGCCACCCGTTCCCGCCGGTTGCAACCCGCTGCTGCCGGTTGCCGCCCACTGCCGTCTGAGTGGGTGCGTCGAGGATTCGCCACGTGCTGGCGCGTTCGCGCCCGTTGCCGCCTCGTGTGTTCTCGCATCCAGCAGGCAGACGCGAGGCGTCAAGGGTAAGAAGAGTCGTGTCGAACTCAGTGGTGCCCAGCTTTCTGTCAGCATGTCTGCAGACGCGAAGCGTTGCCACATAGTTTCCGCCTCATTGTTTGGGGCCCGCGCTGGCAAACATCTGAAGAATTGATTTCCAATGATTTTAGTGGCCGTCGTCTTGGAGCCTCTCGTGAAAGTTGTGGACGTCTTGGAGGCTTCTTGGGCTCCAGTGCCAGCTTTCCGTGCCCCGCATATGCCGTCTTGACAGCATCCTGGTGCCCGCTTTCGTTGTCATGGGTCCGACTTGACATGCCCACGGGCTCCAGGGTCCTGCGCACACTCTGGACTATGTCTGGCACCTCTCCCACAGTTCGTGTGGACAATCTCAGTTCACCACGATCTTTCCCCCAATGGCATAATTCGACCCCCCTGGGATTGGTTTAGAGAAGGTCTGAGATCTAATATGCTGGTGGCCCCAAAGGGTCCGTGACTTTTTTGCACAAGGGCGATTTCGAGTACCTACGCGGAGGTTCTGGATGGCGTCCAGGCTGCGGCCAAGGGTCTGCTTGGTCTTGACGGGATCCACGCTATGAAAGATGCAGGCAAGTGCACGGCAGCGATCTTCGCAGACACGTCTCCCGAGTGGCAGATGACTGCGCAAGCTGCCTTCCAGGTGGACATACCGATTACCACCGTGTACACGACTCTTGGGCACGAGGCAATGGTGCATGGCCTGAACGAGACAGACTGTGCTGTGTTCTTTATCGGTTATGCCCAGTACGACGTACTGAGAGGTCCCGTCTTGCCCAACCGCCCGAATCTGAAGCACATTGTGTTCATTCGGAAATGTTGGGTGCCGCAGGAGGTAGTGGGTGGCGAGAAGACGTCCTCTCCCACGGCTGACATGACCGCGTCAGTGCCGGCGGCGTGTTCAGCCAAGCTGGCAGCGATGGATGTTGGGATCGACCCAGGGAAGGCCACGCGGCGCGTAGATTCGGATGCGGCTGGCCCTGCGGAGGACAGTTTGGCCTTCGTCGTGCACATTTCGGGGACGACGGGCCTGCCAAAAGCAATCATGCCGACGCAAAAAAAAGAAAGAAAAAAAAAAAAACGTCTCGGTCTGTGCGGGTATCGAGGCGCACGGCGCCATCACGGCTGGGCCACAGGATGTGAACACAGTTTGCCTGCCGTCGGCGCACATCCTTGCGCTCTGCGGGGAGGCCAACATTCTGACAAAAGGTGCCAGGAAGGGTTGTGGGAGCCCGAAGGCAACGATATCAGGCTCACCCTTCATAGCCAAAGACAACGCGGAGGGGTCTGATTTGCTTGCATTGAGGCCGACATTCATGCTTAGTAAGTCTAGATCTTATCAAGACTGGCTTGGGTTCAAGGGCAAGCTTGTAAGGATGGCTGTCAATCATTCCACGGGCCAGCGCGGCCAGGAGCACCCCGTCGCAAACCTCCTCTCAAAAGTCGGGATGAGGCGCCCAGCAGTTGAGAAGGTCAAGGCCCAGCTCGGCCTCGAAAACATGCGGTTCATTGGGTCTGGCGGGGCCCCGCTCTCAGCCGAAATGCACCACTTCGTCCAGTTTGGCCTCTGCGCCCAGCGGCGCAGGGCTACGGCTGCACGGAGACGACTGGCGCGATGACCGTGCAGGAGGTTGTCTCCTCCGAGGGGCGCCTAGTGGACCTCAGCTGCGGCATGGTGGGCCCAGTGTTTCCTGCAGCAGAGGTCAAGTTGCGTTCGGTGCCCGACATGGGCTCCTTCGTGACGAACAACCCTCCGGCGGGAGAACTATTGCTTTCTGGTCATAACGTTAGTCAGCTGGGATATTACAAGATGAAAGAAAAGACTGACGAAGATTATCCCATCCATTTGAACGGGCAGAGGTGGCTCCACTCTGGAGACATCAGCTGCTTGATGGGAATGGTACGTTCAAGATCATTGGCCCTAAAAAAGACTTAGTCAAGCTCTCTGGTGGCGAGTATGCCGCCCTGGGCAAAATCGAGGCCGCTCTCCAGCAGGTCGCAGTGATCGGTGCCGCTGTGGTGTTCGCCATGCCTGACTAGGACCACTGTGTGCGTATCGTCTCTCAACCAGAGAAGGGGTGGGCGTCTGTCGGCGGCCAACCGGACGCGGCCGAGCTCGTCAAGCTGATTGAGCTGAGCCTCCGCGCCCAGAAATTCGCCCGCTTCGAGGTACCCACCAAGGCTCATGCTTGGTTTCAAAAGGGACGAAGAGGAGCAGGGCTCCTCCTCCTCCTCTTCAGCCTCCTCCCCCTCCTCCCGTTGCCCCTCCCTCGCGGGAGAACATCAACCCAAGATTGTTCATTCGTCGCCGCTGGGGGGGACTGTCACTGTCTGTCGCCGCCAACGAGCTGGCTGTTTTGTGTTCGGAGGTTAATCGGCGCTGTATTGAGGATGCCGCGCCATTACTCAAAGGTGCTTCATGAGCGGAAAAGGCGGATCGCGAGGAGAGCTCCGCACGGGGGCCCTCACACCAGGATACTCGTCACAAGAACATGTTAGCCAGCGTGGACCCCGAACGGTAAGGCATTGCATCGCGGATGCCCCAGGGGCGGCGACCAAGCGGCAACGGGCGGGGACGTGGCGAAACCTCGCCAGACCAGACCACCTGGCGCATGAGGCGGCAACGAGGCGGCGACGGGCGGCAACGTGGCGAAACCTTGCTGGACCCACACAGCGCACGAGGCGGCAACGAGGCGGCGACGGGCGGCAACTCGGCGAAACCTCGCCAGACCCGCCCAGCGCACGAGGCGGCAATCGGCGGCAACGTGGCGAGACCTCGCGGGACCCACCCAGCGCACGAGGTGGCAACGAGGCTGCACTGGGCGGCTATGTGGCCAGACCTCGCGGGACCCGCCCAGCGCACGAATTAGGCGGCAACGAAGCGGCGACGGGCGACAGCTTGGCGAAACCTCGGTTGACCCACCCGGCGGCAACGAGACGGCAACAAGGCGGCAACGAGGCGGCAACGAGCCGCAACGTGGCGAAACCTCGACAACGCACGAGGCGACAACGAGGCGGCAACAGGATGCAATGTGGCGAGAACTCGCGGGACCCACCCAGCACATGATGCGACAACACAAGGGCGACGAGGCGGCAACGGGCGGCAACGTGGCGAAACCTCGCCAGACCCACCCAGCGCACGAGGCGGCCACTGAGGCGGCAACAGGCGACCGTGGCGAAACCTCGCGAACCCACCCAGCGCACGAGGCGGCCACGTGGCGGTAACGGGCAGCCACGTGGCGAGCGACTCACCCAGCGCGCGAGGCGGCAACGAGGCGGCAACAGGCGGCAACGTGGCGAAACCTCGCCAGACCAGGCGGCAGCGAGGCGGCGACGTGGCGAAACCTCGACAGACCCACCCAGCGCACGAGGCGGCAACGAGGCGGCAACGGGCGGCAGCGTGGCTCAACCTCGCCAGACCCACCCAGCGCACGAGGCGTCAACGAAGCGGCAATCGGCGGCAACGTGGCGAGACCTCGCGGGACCCACCCAGCGCACGAGGCGGCAACGAGGCGGCAGCGGGCGGCAACGTGGCAAGAACTCGCGGGACCCACCCAGCGCGCGAGGCGGCAACGAGGCGGCAACAGGCGGCAACGTGGCGAAACCTCGCCAGACCAGGCGGCAGCGAGGCGGCGACGTGGCGAAACCTCGACAGACCCACCCAGCGCACGAGGCGGCAACGAGGCGGCAACGGGCGGCAGCGTGGCTCAACCTCGCCAGACCCACCCAGCGCACGAGGCGTCAACGAAGCGGCAATCGGCGGCAACGTGGCGAGACCTCGCGGGACCCACCCAGCGCACGAGGCGGCAACGAGGCGGCAGCGGGCGGCAACGTGGCAAGAACTCGCGGGACCCACCCAGCGCGCGAGGCGGCAACGAGGCGGCAACAGGCGGCAACGTGGCGAAACCTCGCCAGACCAGGCGGCAGCGAGGCGGCGACGTGGCGAAACCTCGACAGACCCACCCAGCGCAGCGCACGAGGCGGCAACGAGGCGGCAACGGGCGGCAGCGTGGCTCAACCTCGCCAGACCCACCCAGCGCACGAGGCGTCAACGAAGCGGCAATCGGCGGCAACGTGGCGAGACCTCGCGGGACCCACCCAGCGCACGAGGCGGCAACGAGGCGGCAGCGGGCGGCAACGTGGCAAGAACTCGCGGGACCCACCCAGCGCGCGAGGCGGCAACGAGGCGGCAACAGGCGGCAACGTGGCGAAACCTCGCCAGACCCACCCGGCAGCGAGGCGGCGACGTGGCGAAACCTCGACAGACCCACCCAGCGCACGATGCTGCAACGAGGCGGCAACGGGCGGCAGCGTGGCTCAACCTCGCCAGACCCACCAAGCGCACGAGGCGTCAACGAAGCGGCAATCGGCGGCAACGTGGCGAGACCTCGCGGGACCCACCCAGCGCACGAGGCGGCAACGAGGCGGCAGCGGGCGGCAACGTGGCGAGACCTCGCGGGACCCACCCAGCGCGCGAGGCGGCAACGAGGCGGCAACAGGCGGCAACGTGGCGAAACCTCGCCAGACCAGGCGGCAACGAGTCGGCAACGTGGCGAAACCTCGACAGACCCACCCAGCGCACGAGGCGGCAACGAGGCGGCAAGGTGCGGCAACGTGGCGAAGCCTCGCCGCACCCAACCAATCCCTTGAGGTGATAAGTCAGGACACCTGAGTGCAAGCACTGCTGGCGAAAATGACCGAACGGTGGTCTTACCCAGTTTGGGTCCGCTGGAGAAGCACAGATCGGCCCGACTCAAAAAATGCGTGCGAAGAAAGATGGGGTCGAGAGGCTCAGTCGCGGTGTTCACGACGTCGCATTTTCACGGCATCGGATTCAGGGGGCGTGGGGGGGTCTCGTTTTGGGTGCGATGACTCGGTGCGCGTGTGGGGCCGGAACGGGCTGCCAGACGGGGTGGCAGGGAAGGGATGCTCTTTATGACACGGTTTGAAGCACAGTCCCTGGTCCCCTGAAGTTTCTCCTCGAAGGTCGCGGTGGATGATTTGGTCTGGAATCCAGAGAAGGGTCTGACCATTGCATCTCTCAAGCTGCAACGCAACCCGTTGCGCAACCATTACAACGGGTTAGGTGGTTTGCTGGACCAGATGGGGTACAGGTTCCCCTGATCCAGCGTGCCACCACTGCGTGACCAATCGCCTCGCAGTGAGAAAAAGAGCATCGTCGACATCACTGCTCGTTTGCCCATCTCAAAACTGGACATGGCGATATGGATGGAGCTACAGGGTGGTGATAGTCAGCATGAGTTCTGGATGCGTGAACTAAGGCACAACATCTGCGATTGGTGTTGACTACTGTGTGCATAATTGTATTTGGTGATTGTGTTTTGTGTATGCTATCATTATGTGTTGCTGGTACTTGTTGTTTTATGTGTATGCTGTATTGTATGTTATGGATGTGTCGTGCTTGCTTGTGTTAGTGGCGCTTGTTGTGACTGCGTGTTACAGTTGTGCGTTATCGGCACGTGGCGCCATGACGCTGGTCATTTCGTTTGTGGTAAATGTGATTGGTGCATGCTTAGTGGTGTTTGTGCTTTAGTGTGTTTGGATGTATGCTCTCTTTGCAAACCCACAATGCGTAGTATTGAAGTGTGTGTATGTGCTGTGTGTGATGTGTCTGCTCATTGGTTCCACGGTTGGACGTACGTCATGGACACGCATTGTTACTGCATGTTTGTGACGTGCCAGGTTGAGGCATGCTAGTGGTGTGCATTATTTATGCGTGGCGTCGAAGTTTATGTTGGTGCACGCTCGTGATGTATGTTGTTGACGTGATGTAATCGTGCCTGTTCTTGATGTATGGAAGTGAAGTGTGTTGGTCGAGTATGCCGTTGGCCCATGTTCTTGATGTACGCGGTAGATGTTAGTGGACGGCGTGACGCCGTGGCGCGTGTTATGTTTCTGCTGGTGTTTGCTTTTGTTGTCTGTCCTTGATGCGGTATGCAAGGCTGGCAGGCGGGATTCTCGGGACCCTCGGAGGTCCTGGGTTTTGGTGGCCGTGGAATGCAGGGCTGGCGGGCGGGACACTCGGGACTCGGCAGTCCTGGGGCCTGGGGGGCGCGTATGCAGAGCTGGCGGGCCAGATTTCTCCTTCCTTCCCTCCTCATCCTTGCCTCCCTTTGCCCATTTTTCCCTCCCCCTCTACTTCTACTACTCCCTGCCATTCCTTCCCCCACCCCTTCTCCTCCTGCCCCACCCTCTTCCCCTTCCCATCTTTTCCTCGCTCCGTGGGTGGGGGCCTGGCACCTGTTCTCATGGTGTCAGTGCCACACACTCCACGGGGCACTGTCAGGAGCTTTATCCGCCAGTTGGGTGTGGTGCGACAGGAGGTTTTCTTTGTGTACCAAGCGGCTTGGCGTCCTCGCCTTGCCGCTGGCGGCGTCAGCAGCGCCCGTAGAACTGGACTTGAGTCCCGGGCACGGGGATCGCGCATTTGGTGAAGAGGTGGGGCCATGTGGCCGGTAGATCCCATGGGGCCTTGTGTCCGCTCCCCTTGGGGTACAAACCCAGTTGCGTGTGCTAGGTGTTTCCGCAGGTTTGAGGCAGCTGGAAGGCCCACCTACGCACCAGCCGTCACGCGTAGGCTACGAGTCGCCAGCGACGTGGCCCTGACTGGTGTGTGATTGAACCACCTGTGTTGTATTACACATGCTCCACATGTTCCCCGTCTTTTCTCCACCCTTGCGCTGAGCGCGGCGGCCTTCCATATGATGTCGCAATCGCGGAGGTCGCGGGGGTCTCTTCTCACAGACTTTTTCCCCGCAGACAGTTTTGCGTCAGGCGATATGAGCAGTTGCACAGCGCAGCATACGTTGGAGCACAGGTTTCCAGGAGCCCCAGTCCAATCCACCCAGATCCAATCCAATGCGATACTCCTCCTCCTCCTCTCCCTCCCCCTCCTCCCTTTCCTTCTCCCCCCCC